CGACAACAAGAGCATCTCCAATGCATTACTGCCAAGTGAAAAAATTAAATGCCATGTCATCTATATATATATATAATTACTAGCTGATTCATTTAATAAAACATTTAATAAAATCTATTTTCATTTCCCTACAAAGGAGTTACATTTTTTTTAATTAATTACTCACTAATCTGCTAAAACCGTTATACCTTAATATATATTTTTTCATTATTTATTTTTTGGATCAGTTACTAAATTAATTTTAAATTTGGTAGCAAAATATTCAAATGTGTAATGGCTAATGTTGGAACTTAAAGTTGATTGGCACATTCAGAGCTGCAACCGCTATATTTGGTTGCATTGTTGGAAGAAAAATATGATTGACACTTTTTTTTTTCTAAAAATCAGAAACACCAATAATTTTTTTTATTATGTTAATTTTCTTAATATATGCCACAAATATATTAATTATTTTATTCATGTTACTAACGTAAACGTTGCATGGTTAAAATAAAATTTAAATCTCAATTAATTTTGAATGATAAAAGTAACTTAAGAAAAAGTAATAATTTTTATATGATAGAAGTACATGCCTAACTAATAAATACAAACAAAAACGTGTTTTATATATGTGCAAATGCACATGATCAAATACTAGTTATTAGATATAACGTTTTCATATTTATCTCTCCAGTGGATTCTATCGTAGTTTAATTTTGTGTGACGTGGCATGACAGTAGTCAAGCCCACTGTTTGAAACCACACAGTGTCTTTGACGGTACGACTCAGAAAAAAACATCCAAAAATCTGTAGAATTGTGGGTAAAAAGTTCGGGAACTATGTTTAAACTAAGATACATGATTGAAGGATTCGTGAACACAAGTGAGTCTACAAATATGTTTAAAATCAAGATTTGAGTCTCCAAATATGTTTAAAATCAGAGAGGATAATGTGATGGTTATCATTTAACATTCGCAACATGTTATATACATGTGAAATAACAAATAAGGATATATTTAGAAGATATGTTTGTTAAGTTGTTATTCATATATGAATGTTACTAAAAGACTTATTATCGCTCAATCTATTAAAATTAAAAATTCAGTTTAACATGAAAAATGAAAGAAAGTGGTCCATTGTGCGTAGTATTTCGCTGCTGTTATTCTGACTGTCAACATTGATATTAAGGGGATATAGTTATTCAAATATGTACAAACACGTGTCATGAACATTTAATATTCACATTCATACACTGGAGATCCTCTAAGTAGTAAAGTAACTAAGAGCATCTCCAATGCTCTAATATTGTAGTAGGATAAATTTTGACAAATGTCAAAAAATTAAGTAGATTGTGAACCATGTAGGATAAATGTTGAGTTCACAACTATTAAATTAAAAAATCATCTTCAATGCACAATGTAACCAAGTTACAATATTATCTACTTACCAAATATTAAAATTTTAATATGAGTTAATAAATTGAATCAAATAATTAAATAATTTAAAAATGGTAATAGTAATTCTCTCTCTTCTCTTCATTGGCTAACTAGAGTGTGGAGGAGAATGTGGATGAACCACATTCTTCTCTACATTGTAGACATTAATTATGTCCACATCATCACAATATTTATGATCACATTGTACATTGGAGGATGAAAAGTTGTGATATTAATAAATGTGTTGATGTGGAATGTAATTTGCCGCCCAACATTGAGCATTGGAGATGCTCTAAAACTGAATTGATCCACATAATACAATCCATTATTAACACGTATTAATATAGTTTAATAAAAAAGGGCCTTAAAAGCTAACATTATTAGCAAAGTAACTCAGAATCTGCATTTTTCATCCAACGACTAAGCATCATCCCCGCTGAGTTCGTTCCTTATGAATCAACGGCTGATCATCAGCAGTCCACACATGATTCGGATCGTACCTTATGACCGTCGATAAGCATTTCAATCTGACGGATCACAATCACCCCCAAACTAAAAGCACCAGCTATATACACAGTCGAACCCCACTACTCTCCCCTCGCACCAACCATCACCGTTTCAAAATCCTCCAAATTCCTAAGTTTCATCAAATCGGAAAAAAGTGAAAAACCAGACCCTAATCCAAAAATGTCAGGCAGAGGCAAGGGCGGCAAGGGGCTGGGCAAGGGCGGCGCCAAGCGCCACCGCAAGGTGCTAAGGGACAACATCCAGGGCATCACCAAGCCGGCCATCCGGCGCCTGGCCAGGCGCGGCGGCGTGAAGCGCATCAGCGGCCTCATCTACGAGGAGACCCGCGGCGTCCTCAAGATCTTCCTCGAGAACGTCATCCGCGACGCTGTCACCTACACAGAACATGCCCGCCGGAAGACGGTGACGGCGATGGACGTCGTCTATGCCCTCAAGAGGCAGGGACGTACTCTCTACGGGTTCGGCGGTTAGGTCCTAGGGTTTGATTTTCACCGACCGGATGTATATCTTTTCAATTTCTAATTCCCTACTAATTTGAAGTTATGTCGGTGTAATTGAGCTTGGATTGTTTGAATTATCTGGTTTCGATGAATGAAATTGGAGATTTGGGATTTATGCAGTTGCATTTTTACCTCTATGTTGAAATGTTGTTGAGCTCATCGTTAATTAATTGAGATTCTCCTTTATTAGTAATGAACTAATGGTTACTCCTCTACAGTACTATGAGCCAAAAGTAAAAGAAAAAAAAAAACTGATAAAGGATTTGGAAACAAATTAATTTGGTTCTTCATTGGTTTATATTTTGTTTATAATCCCAGTTATCAAGATTTGAACTTTTTTTATTTTTATTTTTATATGGGCTTTGCTATTAGCTTCTGTTATGTCCTCCAGCTCTTCTTCTTTTAAACCAAGTAGTTACTGAGATTCCATCTGTTGAACTGCTGGTGAATTGAGCTGTAACGAATTGTTGAAATAGTTACTGGGATTCCCATATGTTAAACTGGTGGTATGAATTGAGCTGTATAGAGTGGTATGAACAAGAAGACTTTTTGCATATGGAGTTTGTAAATTACTAATGTATTTCAGACTCATACAATAAGATATATTTTACAAACATAGAATGAATTTCATGGCGCAGAAAGAGCAGACTGCAGAAAAAATAAAGAACAAACACAAAGAATTCCTGGGAGCAGAATGCACAAAAGGGAAAAAGAAGGTTGACATTATTATGGAGATGCGGGGTATCGATCCCCGTACCTCTCGCATGCTAAGCGAGCGCTCTACCATCTGAGCTACATCCCCATTGACGGTGATTGTTTTGTAATATTTGTAATATACAATGGTATTGCTAATTGGATTGGACTCGAGGGTAGATAGCAGGCCCAAAGCTGTTGTTCTCTCTCTCTCCTTCATATTATTATCAATTGCCTTTGGGCATGGAACAACATACATCACTAATCCAAGAGATACAATTTAAACTTCCAGGCCCAAATGTCAATCTAATTGGTTTGGCAAAATTTACATTGCAAAAATAATTACTAAATACATTGACAAATGTATGACATATAATTTTAATTAAAAAAAATTGAAACAAATTATTGATACTACCTCATTTTTTTTAAAAAAAAAATGTTATTTTGGCTTTATCAACAATTAACTAAATAAATGACATTTTGGATCTTTTGTACATATTTTTCTATTA